AGGTCCTCCTCAGTTTCAGCAAGCAGGGTTGTGTCTAATCTTTAAAAAAAAAAATCTTAATTAAAAAATTGTATTATTTATTCAAAACATTTGTCTGTCTTCTCTAAAATAATTCCTACGTGAAGAAACCTTACTTTTCAACTCAAATAAACATAACATACATTTAAAAGGTATTAAAAGTACATTGAAAAATAAGTTCTGGAATGCAATTTTAAAAACGAATTTGCTAGTAGGAGTTTTTCTTTTAATGTGTTATATATTTGGTATAATTAATTTATCTCATTTTTTAGAAGTAACAAGTCTCTGTTGTTTATGATTATTTAATTCCCAAGTAAACAATGTGTTTTCTAATATATAAGCTATAAAATGAAGAGTGTGATCAAAAGAAAAAACTTATCACCAGATAAACGTACATGAGCGTGTGTGTTGAACTTTAGTGATTAACTTCAGAGTATAACTAAATAAAAATATCACATATAACAATTAATTTCATAGATACAATGGCCATGCATTTACTACATATACAATGAAAAAATATATTCCTACTTGATCCATTCCAGTAGCTAGCATAAATTTTACTTTTCATTAAGAAGTTGTATGATATATGATATATGATATATGATAAAGGTTGGGTATAATTGGAATAAATATTTCATAATATGTTTTAATTAGGTAGGACTTAAATAGTGGGATTGAATAATATGACCTCAATCTAAAAAAATTATGCAAAATTCTTATGAGTTTCATCTAGTATAACTAAAATAAAAATTAAAAAGTTGTATGTAAAATAATCAGTGTCCCTCACCTACGCAGCTTTGAGGTTTGAATGTATTTTTCTCTTTAAAGATAAATCTTAAACACGAGTGCTGAGAATGCTCTGTACTTTTATCTCCCAGCTTCTCTCTCAACAGCACTGGTACTTTCTCAGGCCTTTCTATTCAGAATAAGTCAGTGTGTGTGTGTGTGTGTGTGTGTGTGTGTGTGTGTGTGTGTGTGTGTGTAAAATAGTATTTATCTTGGTTATCTATAAGTCTTATGCATCTTTTTAAAAATGTTGTGGACAATATTTTCATGTTGATAAAATAAAACAAAACCACAATGACAGGAATACTTTAAGGTGGCTTTCTAGTGGTTAAATGAACCATTCTCTTATTTCGAATCCCTGAGGTTTTTGAAATCTAGGTTAATGCTGCAACATTAAGATACCTTAGGAGTGACATTCCCTTCATAAAGAAGGACAGGGGTTTTGTGGAAAGAAAGGTAAGTAGGAAAACCTACATGGTGCCATGATTTCATATGTGTGGGCTGGGAGATCTAATGATTTAACGCTTCATTTTGCTTGCCAGTCGCACAGGATTCAAAATTGAAAGTCAACATGTTTGTTTTGCAGCTGTCGTCAGCGCCATCCCAGTGCCAACCCTAGAAAGTGCCCAGTACCCAGGGATCCTTCCATCTCCCACGTGTGGATACCCCCACCCACAGTTCACTCTCCGGCCTGTGCCATTCCCGACACTCTCAGTGGACCGAGGTTTCGGAGCAGGAAGAAGTCAGTGTAATGCATTTTCCTTTCTTTGGAATGAGAACAAATGAGCAATACCAAGACTATCATGTCAACTGTGTTATGCGTGTGTAAAAGCTTAACGGGGGATGGGGGGACAGTCCTATCATATATGTAACATTTTGACCTTTTTATCCTGGGGAAAGATTAATTATGACTATTTGAATTTTCCTTCTAGTCTAGCCAGCCCTTTAGATACTATGCTTTGGGGTTAATTTCCTAGACAATTTCTTCCACAGACACTCCAATGAAAATAAGAGGGTGGTAGGACAAGAAGAGTTAGGGTGTACAATGAAAAGAATGATGTGATCCATATTTGAAAGTGATATATCCAATTACCTCTAGAGCTATTCATCAAATGACTGTTCTTCAACAGATTCTTACTCATGGTGTATTGGTTACATTTAAGCATATCTCATTGATCTGTGGCTAACCAATACTTTGATGAATGCTTTCACTTTCTTCCATATAAATCAGTTAACTTTCATCTTTAAGACTTAATCACCGGGACAAAGATTTTCTGAATGTTGTTTCATTTATTCGGAGGAAGTTGGGACTGGAGACTCTAATCAGTTATACACACCCTAGTGCTTTCTTCTGTGCCATTAGACAGAGGGTTTGTGTTTTGTTTTTTTTTTTCTTTCTTGAAGCACAGCATTTTAAAATCGATGTTACAGTTTTCATCTCTTAGTTAGGAAGAGGTGACTCAGCATCTCATATGAGATGGGGAGTTTTGTAAGAGATAAGAAAGTAACAGCAATAAAATATATTTGTGAGGTAAGCTGTATTTTCCAACCCAACAGGGACAGCTCTAAGAAGTCATAAATCGTCTAGATGTAGCAAAGTTAGAATTAAAAGGCATCAAAAATCTGCCAAGGGAGAATGAAATTTATTTTCTCTTTCTTCACTTCATGTCATGTCTACAGAATAGAGTTGTGTGCAAAAAACTCAAGGAAAAATTATTTCCCTAAACCATATTCATGGGTGTCAAATAAAAAAGAGGTGGAAAGTTAGACAAACAAACATTGTCAAATCCCATGACTCCTAGGAAGGCAATTTGGGTCAAAGATTTGGGAACTCAGTCATTCCTATGTCACTTCCAAAATATCCTTTCCAAAGCATAAAACAATTTTAGTTTTAATGCAGTATATCTCTTCATGGGGCCATTTTCTACTACTTTAATTTTTATTTTGTCTCTATTCTCTGAGATAGAGATAGAGAGAGAGAGAGAGAGATAATAGATAGATAGATAGATAGATAGATAGATAGATAGATAGATAGATAGATAGATAGATAGATCACGACTCATAAAGACCCTATGGAAAAAAGGGCTGAAGCCCATCAACAACTATTGGCATTTATGAATGTTCATAGAGTTTCCAGAGGCATATTGTTTAGGAATTGGATGCCACTCCATATATATTATTTTTTATATGTGTGTTTGTGTGTGTGTGTGTGTGTGTGTATATATATACATATATATGTATATACATATATATATGTGTGTGTATATATATACACATACACAAATACTATATACACACAAATATATATATTTACATATCTATTTCTTATAAGAGCTCTGACCTCAAGCTTACCTACTGTCATTATGTGTTCCTATCTTTTAAAAAAATTATATCCCTTTCTGAAAATATGATGGAGAAAGAAATCCCTTCCCATGGAAATTACAGCCTCTGAAAGCCCTTTGGAGGGTTGGCTCAGAACCAGCTGCAGCCTGAAGCCAGCGAGCTTGAGTTTCTGAGAATAGTCATGTCAAATATCTCATGTACTCTTTTTTCCTCTATCTCTTAAATCAGTGTACTATGAAAAGCTTTCTTCCATTGACTCATGGATACAAGGATTTCCACAGATGGAATCCTACTAAAAGAGAAATGAATGAGCTACTAAGAATTTGAGCTTTGGTAGTTTAGTGGTAAGACACTGTGTTGCAATCCTGAAGGCACGCAGTTTGAGTCCACCAGCTTGGGAGAAAGATGAGCAATCTCCTATCGTGGGATTAACTGTCACTGAAAATCATCTGGAGGGTCTGCTATGGGTTGGTTCTGACTCAACGATACTCAAGAAAAAGAGCAACAACAAAGAAATTAGCCTTTATGTGTAGTTAAAATTTTTGTCTAAGAGTTTCATATTTTCTTCATTTCGTCAAAAGTAAGAATTATTAAATAAAGACATTCATAGGTTTTAGGAACTCCTAATAGACTGCCTACTAACTTTTGAGTCTTATCTGAAATCACAAGGCAAATGGACAGTCTAATCCTATCTATGCTTTTATAAGTGGATTAAAAAAATAAAACCAACCACTTAGTCATTTATCAACTATTTTTAAGCAAAGCTATATTCAATACAAAAAGGAATATAAATGAAAATGTATTTCCAAGTAAATTCTGAGAAAAGATAAAACCAAGCATCTGCTTTTCTAGGAAGAGAAATATTCTTAAGTCACTGCCAGAAACAGCCTCCAACCATTGAGTATCCATTTCTAAATGCCTTGGAGAACACCGAACATCACTGTTTTCTCGCAAGCAGAAAACATTTCATGACTCTAGGTGGAGAGAGCTTATTAGTTACCTTGAGAAACAGAGAAAGATGCACATAGAAAAAGAGAAGTTTGACTTTGCCAAGTGGAGACACTCTTTCCTCCTCCAGTGTTATCAGAAAGACTGAGTTTTCCAGAAAAATGAATCACTAAAGTCCTGCCCCAGAGACACACTACTTTGTTAGATCACAAATAATGTTGGTTGTCTTTCTTCACATAAGAGACGAAACCAATGGTAATTTGTTATACATCTGTGTTGACCTTCTTAACAAAGATTTGTGCATTTGATTGGCAACTCTGTTTTCTTCCTACTGATAGACTCATGAGCCCAATGGAGTTTGGAATTTTTTTTTCTCTCTAGTCTTTTCAAATCTCTAGGGTGGGAGGATTTGAGTTTCCATAGGAATATAGCATCCTATCTAGATTAATGAGTGATTTGGGCTACTGGAGGTGTTCGTGTCTTGAAAGCTCTGCTGAGAGTTATTGGTGTGATATATTTCTTTCAAATATTGCAATTTTAAATAGAAGAAAAAAATTCTCATTTCCATGCTTGCAATATGTTTGCCAGTTATTCTGTAGCAATTATTTATGTGTGTTGACATTAATTATTATAAAGTGCCTTGAAAATTGACTCTGCTGCGTAATTGTATGCTATTTGTACAATGAATTCTAACAATTTTATCCTTTGAAAATTAGGGTTTTGCCAGCTTATATTTGATTCTCACTCTAACCTCAGAATTGGAGGGAGGTTGCACTCCGTGGGTGAAAAGAGGTTTTCTTTGCTTTTCAGAGCTCTCATCACAGCTAAATGTCATGTCACTGAGCCAATTTGTTTCACGTAGGTGTCCTGAAGCTCACGCCTGCACTAGCCAAATGGGCTCAATCTGAAATGAGAGCATTTATCTGGTGAAGCAGTTGCTATTTTGTTTGTATAAGTATTTTCACTACCTGAAATGTCAGTCAGTTCAGAAAAGCATTTCTTTTGCTCTTCTTAAAATGCAAGCGTTGTGTATTGTCTGTGAAACTTAAAATATAAGCACCATGGATTGTCTTTGGAAACGAGGCACCCTTTTCATTGTAGTAATGGGGGGAAAGGCTATATATGGTCACTTTATAGTGAAATGATCCTTATCCACAAGGCAAAAGTAATCTCTCCTAGGTTGGTGATATATTCATTCCCAAGGCTGGGCTGCCCTCTCCCAGTGAGCACATTTGGGCACTTATCTTTGCACATGTGTGGTCTTGAGGATGGATATCCCTGAGAAGAGGGTCCATCTGTATCAACAGACCTGACTGCCAGTCACTATCAAGTGGATCCTCACTCATGGTGACCCCATATGCTTCAGTGTCAAATTGTTCCCCATCTGGTTTTCAATGGCTGTGACCCTTCAGAAGAAGATTGCCAAGTCTGTCTAAGTTCTATCTTTCTAATTTTGAAAACATAAGAGAATTTTTTTAAAAGCGAAATAAGAAAGAAAGACAAAAATTTAAAAAAATTAAAGGAAAAAAAGGTATTCTATTCTCAAACATTTCATTACTTACTAGCTTAGTCAGTTCGAAAAAAATAAGATGTGAATTACTTGTGATCTACGCTACTCGACAATTGACTATAGTGATATGGGTATGGATCCTTTAGTGAAAACAGACACTGGATACAAAGTGAGCTCCAGATACAGACGTCTGCAGCCTCTGCTCTCTAATGTAGAGCCAAGAGATACTCATAAGACATAGAATTCACAGAATGACAGAGACACCTTTGATTAAGGTGAAACCAAAGCACGTTAAGTTCCCTATAGTTTTCCCTATGAGATCAGAAATGCTTTCACCCCCTAAGGATTATCCCTTGACCTTTCTTCACAAGAACCTGGGTAGGTTTTTCCCTGCTTAGTAATTCCTGCAGTCTAATGTTTCACCCTATTGGACCTGAGCAATAAAAGAAGTGGTAGCAACAAAACTAAAAGTAAAAGTAAACCCTTCTTTAGGACAGAGTAAGAACTATTTCCATTGGCTCAAGGCTCAGGGGCACAATGAGTCTCTTTAGGCTAAATAAGCAAGTGCTTGTGTGGACAGTTGTCCATTAACCCTTCTCTTCAAGAATCCAGGTTAAACAAAACCTGCAAAATTTTCTTGATCTCTTAAACTGTTCTTTTGAGCATCTCACCTACACTTTTTTATAAGCATTTCAGCCCCTTATAACTCTTACCTCGAGTCCCCATCCCTTTTCTGCCTTTCTATGAGAACCAGCTTCCCCAGAGAGTTCTCTTAATGTTGTCTTTACATCCTCACTCTTTCATCTTGAGGGTTTGCATTCATTTCCTCCTTGCCCTTTTTTCCTTTGATAGGATTTCCTACACTAGAGATAAGGTAGGTGTTTTTGTTCAAACTCCTCTTGACCTCATTGCCTTTCCCTTTTGCTGTCCTACTGGTGTTTCCCTTCTTTAAAGAAATCTTTGACTGAGTCTTGGCTGGTTCCTGGCTCTTTTCTGTAGTGCTGTGCAGTTCTTTGCTTCCTCTGCATGTTCCCACCTCCATCTATGCATGTTGTGAGCTCAGGGGCTAGTCGTTGACCCCTTTGACCTCTAACTTCTTCAGAATAGAGAATAATGAGTTTTAATATCAAATACCCTCTGAAGGCACTTTTTGCTTTTGCATATCTTTAATATCACCTTGATCTTTGTGTATCTTTAATCTCTGCTCCCTTTAAGTTCCTCAGATTTCCCTTTTATCTCCTCTGCCCTTTGACGCCCTCAGAGAGTCATCTCAAAATTATCTCCCAAACTAATTACCTTGAAATATTTCCTGGTTGAAAGTTCTCCTTGAAAAGTGAGATATTATCTTTTTTTATCATTACTCCCCTTCCTTTCCCATTTACTCAATGGAACTTTACAAAGAAGTAAATGGTCAGAGACATTCTTCTGATTCCTTTAGCACTAATATGGACCATGCAGTTCTTTCTGTCTGCAGTTTAACCTGAACCTGCTGTCTTTGAACAAGAATGACCAGTTAAACGTTGAGTCACGGTGTCCTTAGCATGAGAAAGTGTCTTGCCAATATTTCAGTCTGAGTCAGCTGTGTCCTCTGGAGATGTGTTTCCATATTAAAAGCTGTCCAAATGCCCATGGGCTGTCACAAATGACTGTGCAAAACCTCCTCAACCACAGTAATCCAGCTGAAAATTGCAAGTCTTGTCACCAAAAAGGAAAGAATTTCAATCCTGCTTCCGGGCAAGTTGTTCCGGTAAAGTCCTCACTCATAGAACTTTTTCAGCTCACTGTGCCCTGATTTTGTTATGAAAGATAATGATAGTGGTTATTATTTGTATCGTTTTATTAGCTTTGCCTCTGAGCACTCGGTAACTCTGATTTGCTTGACAGTTGACACAGCATGTTTAAATCATAGAAAAATTGGCATATTGGCTGGTAGATAATAATGCAGCTGACGCTGGGCTGGGTACATTGAATTTCACTGACATTGCTACTTATGAAAGGAGAAATAACTCTCTCTTCTCGCTTCATCACTTACGATTACAGGGCCCAGACAGTTCAGGCAATACATTCAGTGTTGAATATATTCTTACTCTTCGTCCTGTAAGATAAACCCTTGTCCTGCTGCATCTATGTCTACCATTTAGAGGGGAAGAACAAGTATGTCCCATGAATAGATGAGGGTTAGAGGAATGAGGCTGTTCCCAGCCTAGTGGATATATTGACCAGATCTTCACATGTCTCTGTAAATTGATACAGGTTGACTTAGAGAGCTGAAGCTTTGTCCTGGAGTAACAGATGGCGTTTCTTCTCTCTCTTGTAGCTGTGAGTGAGGGACCAACCACACAGCAGCCACCTATCCTGCCCCCAGCCCAGCCTGAGCACCCCAGCGGTGAGGAGGCGCCCAGCAGAACCATCCCCACAGCCTGCGTCCGACCGACTCACCCGCTTCGCAGCTTTGCTAACCCTTTGCTACCTCCACCTATGAGTGCAATAGAGCCGAAAGTCCCTTACACACCGCTTCTGTCTCAGCCAGGTAACAACTCCGTCGGTTCACATTCGAAGCTAATGTTCTCACTGGTACCTTGACTTAAGTGTGTGATGAATGGCACTTGGAAAAGCTAAGACACGGTGTCTTTTCAACATAAAGAACATGCCTAATGTGCTCATGTTTGTTTTTGATGCTTCTAATGCTGGTCTTCAGTAGCTATGTTACAAACACCCAACTGGATATAGGCACCTTTCATTCTTTACCAAAGCTGCCCATTAATCCTGGTGACACTGTGTACACTGGGCCTGGCAGGACAGGACTCTGACACATTGAGCAGTCAGGACTTCATTTCTCAGGAGATAACCCTATAGAAGCCTCCCTTAGCAAGCCCACCATAAAACACGTCTGTATTTCCCAAATCCCTTTCCACATCCTCTACACATAGACCAGTCATGTGAATTACAAGGGGAAATGGCTTTTATATTGTTCTGCAAACCCTCAGGGTCTTTTCTAATTGACCAGAGAAAGTTCAAGCAAAATAGTTTTTTTTTGTGAAATGCCTGTGTCAAGTGGATGCAGCCTGGTGACTTCTGCATTCTGTTCTCCACTGTAAGGCGTGCCAGAGGCCACTGCACAGATGGCAGGCCAGGGGAGAGGACAGGTTAACTGTAACAACTAATAATATTGAACATGTATTGACTGAAAAGTATGGTGCTGACAAAGTGTACTAACTTTCAAAATTTTTTTTATTATTATTATTCATTGTAATGAATGTTTACAGAGACTTTGGATTTCCAGTCATTCATTATTGCATTTTTCTCCCTGTCCATCCTCCCTTCCCATTCACACTTCTCTTTGAAAAGTAAAGAAAAATTCTTTCATTGTTATACAATTTCCCTCCTCCCCAACTTCTTTTATTCTTACAACTCTGTGAGGCATTTCCTGCTCTGATCCCCATTTTGTGGAAAACAATACTGATTCACAGAAATGTCCAGGTATTTAAGTCTCTGGAACCGTAGGTGACTCAGTGGTGGAGTTTGCACACCTGGATTTGGCACTAGCTCAGCACACCTCAGCCTCAAATCCCACCCATCTGTCAGTGGAGAATCGTATGTTACTCTGATGATGAATCTGCCTTGGAGAAAGTACATCCAGGGTGCGCCTGAGAGCCAAGAATGGTAGAACTTTGTCACATAGACTTCAGGCATATTGTCAGGAGGCATCAGGTTTTGGAAAAACAAGATCATTCTGGAAAAGGTGGAGGATCAGAAAAATATAGGAAAATCCTCGGAAGGATGGATTGAAACTACGATTATAACAATGATTGAACAGAGTAGACACCACGGAGATGGTGAAGGGTAGGGCAAAGCCTACTGTTCGTAGGATCACTATGAGTTGTGCTTGACTCCAAGGCACCTACCAACAGCAATAACGATGCTGAACAGATCTTTCTAGACTAAGACAAACATAGAAGCAAGGGCTGGTGATGTACTTCCCCAAACAAGCCATTGAAAACCCCATGGATCACAAGAGGCTGCATTATTCTTTTGGACATGGGGTCACTAGTCGTGAGCTGATTTGACAGCAACTAACAAACATGGCAAGTTATATCTACACATCTAGTGGAGGCTCTTTCCCCACTCTTGTTGACTTCAAAAAGCATAAACAAAAAATAAACAAACCAATCATTCCACGCCATCCCTCAAATAAAATCTTTCTCCCCCAAATTTAGAAATCTTTTATGCTTCTTGATTTTATGTTGTTGTTGTTGATTGCCATTGAGTTGAGCATAACTCATAGTGACCCTATGAACAAAAAGTTGAAAGTCTTTCTATAACTATCGTCATTTATCAAAGTTTATAGTATTTCCAGAGGCATGTTGTTTAGGAAGTAGATGCCACTCTTTCTTCTGAATGACAAAAGCAAAGACTATTTTAAAAAAAATCTGTTCATAATTATTCCAAGTTTGATTTTTAAAAATCTGAAATGATAGAGATGTACTTCTAAGATAAAGGTTAAGAGGTTTAATTATTCTATATTTAAAAATACTAACTTTATAATATGAAAAAACTAAATTATTAAAGCAATTTAAACTGCTAATTTTCTCCCTGCTTGGAAATAGATGTCTATTTGAGTGACTATTCTACACAAAGAAAAAGCACAGCAGATATTATTTTCAAGATTATTTGAAATGAAAAATGTTACTGTGGAGGTGGGTGATGTCTAATTTAGAACACAAGTAGTGCAAGTGAACTTCAGACTTTGAAGCTCTGTGATAACAAGATGACCAAAAGCTCGTTAATTTTAGAAAGAACACTGACTCGGAATAAAGAACTGCTGCTGTAGTTGTTTATGAGTTGTTTCTTTACTTCTAGTCTGGAGTCCTTCTGATATAGTGAGTAATAGGTCTGCTGACCAAAATATCAGAAGTTTGAATTCACCAGTTACTTCATGGGAGAAAGATAGGACTCTCTATAAAAATTTACATCTTCAGGAACCCAATAGAGGGTTGTTATCCTCAAGTCAAGATTCACTTGAGTGCAATAAGCTAGTTATAATAACCCCCAAACGGCCTCAGAAAAGAAAATCCATGAGTGGATTCCAACTCATGACCAACTTCCATCACTTTTCCATAGCTTTAAGTCTTAACAGAAAACTCCTCAACTTTCCCCATTAAAGACCTACCTGGTTGTTTCAAATGACTGATTTTTCAGTTAGCAAGTGATATCTAACACATCATACCACCAGGATTCCTTAATGCCAATGCAGGTTTAAGTAAAGTTAGGCATAAACGTGGCACAAATATGAGGGCTATGTCCTTAATCAAAGAGGAATATAGTCTGTGGCACTGGCCCAGCAGTTATCGCACCAAATAGTCAGCCGTTCTGGAGAAGTATTCTCTGCTCTAATGCCACAACAGGGCTAAGATCTCATTTTCTATTATTTCCATTCTATTCACATAAGCCTTTAATTGTTTTACTATTGTTCTATTGCTAGTTGAGCTTTCTTACAAGTAATTTTCTCTTCTATAGTCTTTGTTCTGTTTGGCTTGAATTTTGGGCTGGAATGTGTGTGTGTGTGTGTATGTTCCCCTTTAAATAGCACCTTCCCCCACTCTGCTTAAGACCCACACCATCACTGTGGAATTATTAAACTCCCTTTCAGGTTTTCTCCCTCTTTGTTTCCCTGTGATTCTTGTTCACTCCATAATGTCTTACCTCATGATTTTCAAATAAGTTCCCCTTGTATTGCTCCTGACACATGGTAAATAGTATGCTTTTAAGAAAAGGCTGATGTTTACTTATTCTAATAGAAAAAGAAAATTAGCAGACTGACAAATGTATTAGCTGTGACATTAACTACATGCTTCTTAGCCTAGAAGATGAAATACTTAGAGCTTTCAACAAATTTTAATTTTGTGAAAATCATTACTTTAGTCAAACTGATTGATGAAGTAAAGTCATTCTTTTGTCGGCTTAAAAAAAAATACCTCCAATAATTTTAATCTGAATTTAACAATAAAGGGCTACATGATTAGTAATGAATTTATCTTTACTTACTTCAAGTAATTACTTAAGAATATGGTAATGGAAGGCATTGCTCTTATTTTTAAATATCATGCCAAATGAAAAGTTCTTTGTGCTTCGAAATTAGAAATCAATAAGGGCGGTGTGCTTTCCCCCCCAAACAAATTCCTATGTGTGGTGCATCCTGATGCCGGCCACTGATTTATACTTCAGTCCCCCCCCCCAAAAAAAAAAGATATGCGAAGCTATGCTTGCTTTGATTTTTACAGAAGATGTGGGGGTAACACAATGGTGTTTGAGAAGTAGAATTCTTTTTTCTTTTTTTAATTTTTCTGCTAGTTTATTTGCAGAATTCAAATACAAATTTGAGCAAATTCTTACCATTTCCCTCACCCCCCCAACCCATCAAATTGTACAACCCAGTGATTAATCCCCTCTCCCGCCCTACACATCCACATCCCTCTGCTTCCAGCCTCTCCCACCCCTCCTAGATCCTTATACTCATTCTACAATAACAGTTTTACACAATATTTATCTTTATTGGACTGAGTTAGTTCACTCATTCACACAATGGAATATTATGCAGCACGCAGGAGCAGTAACTTTGTAAATTATTACCTAACTTGGGAGGGACTGGAGAGCATTATGCTGAGACGTAGAATTCTTAACTTCTGTGCCAGAGACCTAGGCTCTATTGCTAGCCACGGCATCTCATGCACAGTCATCACTCATTTGTCTATGGAAGATACACGTTACAAAACAAGATTGTCTTGGAGTAAGTACAAGCAAGGTGCTCCTTGGAGGCAAAGATGGTGAAACTTCAGCCTGCATGTTTTGGCCGTGCTGTCAAGAGGGGCCAGTCCTTGGGAAAAGACACCAAGCTGGGAAAGGTGGAAAGCTAGGGCAAGAGAGGAAGACCCTTGACAAGATGGATCGACTTAGTGAATGTGGCAATGGGCTCAAGTTCATTTGAGATTGTGAGGATGGTCCAGGAGAGAGAAAGGTTCTGAGCTATTGTACATATGGTTGTTATGAATCACTGTTGACTCAATGGCACAATGTGATGCTGATCACATTTCAGCAGAGGTTCTAAACTAAGCCAGACTAGGGAGAAGGCTCTGGGGGTCTACTTTCCAAAAAAAACCCCAAAATCAGCTATTGAAAGTGCTGTGGTTTCTGTTGTGCACTAAGTCATCAAGGGTCAAGAACCAAGTCTATTAGTTTACAACATCAACTCTCAGGACAGCATATATTATGTAAGGGTATGAACCATCTTTATAAGGTAGCAAAGCACTTTGCAACATTTCTACAGGAATTTGTTGTTGTTGTTATGTGCCATTGAGTCCATTGCAACTCATAGTGACCCTATGTACAAGAGCCCTAAATGCTATTCTATCCTGTGCCAACCTCGCCTTCTCAAATGCACTCATTCCCACCACTCCACTCACAGAATCGATCCATCTCATCGAGAGTCTTCCTCTCCTGCACTGTCTCTCCACTCTCCCAAACATGGTGTCC